AGCTACGCACCTTCCTGGGCGCGGTACAGTTTTTAGGCCCGCACCTGCCAGGACTGAGCCTGGTGGCAAAACCACTATTTGCAAAGAGCTCACCTATGCGGAAATGGACGTGGGACTCGGACTCCCAGGAAACTTTCGACGAGGTCAAGGGAATCATAGCCAAGGCAGTGGCATTAACTATGCCAAGGCGGGGCCGTGGTTTCGTGGTTATGACAGACGCATCAGGCACTGGCTTAGGGGGTATTCTCCTCCAGAGGGGCGAGAACCAACAGCCAGCCTTGTGCGCCTGTATCTCACAGGCATTCACGGAGACGGAACGAAAATGGAGTACGACGGAACGAGAGGCGTACGCGATAGTGCGCAGTTTGGAGAAGTTCGCAGGCATGGTGCAGGGCGAGCCCATTGTCGTGGTCACGGACCATAAAGCTCTGACTGCATTAGACACCACGGAGCAAGGGAAATTAATGCGATGGAGGATGAAACTCTGCGAATACGATGTGCAGTTTAAATACGTGGAGGGCAACTCCAACCTTATTGCGGACTGGCTCAGTCGACTCCATCCCGATCATGACCGCACGGTCGACGCCATCGCGGTCCCCGTTTACTATACTGCCGTGACCCCCCCTCTAGCACCCGGCATGCTCAAGCGGGCTCAGCCACCTCTGGAGCTTCAGGCTCTCCTGCGCCAGAGTGACCACGGCTGGTACCACTCGCGAACCGGGGCCGCTTATATCCCAGAACCGGGCCGAAAAGCAGCGCTGAACCTTCTACATGGGTGTGCCCATAGTGGGCATGCGGGGTTCAACCGATGCTACCGACGGGCCCGGGGTGCCATCTGGTGGCCCACGCTATATCAGGACCTGCGGGCTCACATTCAGAACTGCGTCATCTGCGCTATTCACCGGCCCCACTCCCGTAGCGAGCATCCTGAGAGGACACTGAAACGAGTGGTACTCGGAGAGCTGGTTAGCCTTGATTTCGTGGTCATGGACAAAAGGAGCGGCACTCACAGTCAGATACTGGTCATTATCGATCATGCCACTCGGTTCATGATGGCAAAATTCACTTCACCCGCCTCCGTCCCCGGTGCGGAGCGCGTCTTCCTCCGGGAGTGGGTACCCGTAATGGGCATACCACGGGCGGTCATTACTGACAACCACCCCTTCATCTCACTCCCGAAGATCACGGAACTGGGGGTTCATCAGTTCCACACAGCACCATTCTACCCGGAGGGGAATGGCATTAATGAGGCATCACACCGATTCTTGAGGCATGCCCTCGCGACGTGCGCCACGGCGAACACCGA